CCAGAGTTTTAACAGTAGCTACTGTGCATTGAGTTTTACAATATTCCAGGCACTGTGCCAAAAGGCTTCGCTTATACTCTCTCACAGCAGCCCTCTGAATTAGGGACTTATGTTATTCCCATTCACAGTGGAGAAAATCGAGGTCTAGTGAGGTTAAGTCCAAGGTCACGGAGCTGACAAATGTTGGAATCAACACATGGACCCGGGCAGATTTAGCTCCAGAGCCAGACTTAACCGTGGGATTTGATTAATGTACTCCTTCTTGCTCCCCAGCCTGTTTCTCTAAAAAGAATTTTTTTTAAAAAATTGATTTATCTTCCAACTTATTTATAATGTATTTTCCAGGATGATGGGATTTAGTGAAGAACCAGGAATAATTCCAAGATTTTGTGAAGACCTTTTTGCACAAATAGCCAAAAAGCGAACCCAAGAGGTATGTTCTCAGGAGATCTGCAAACCTTGTCAGGTCCAGCTCAAATCAGAGTCACGGCCGTGAAGGAAGTACTCAGTGGAAGGTGTCGTTGTGTTTTCCAGCTCACGAGCGAGGGTGGGGATTCTGAATTCAGAATCAGTTCCACCTGGTGTGCAGCAGAGGCGTCTTCTCTCCCTTCCTCTCTCTGTGTGCATGTAGTGACCCTCAGCATGGTAGCTATGTGCCATTATATGTGTCTCAGACAGGCAGGTGCACAGTTTTACCTAAGGACAGTGGGCATAAACTCTTGGACATTATGAAGCAGAGAGAGAGTAGCAAAGCTGGAGTTTGAACCTGGATTCGATTTTAAAAGCCATGCTTTTTCCATTGTACTCTACCTGACCAGGCCGCATGGGCTTCTTTCTCCACTTCACTCATACATTCAGCAAGTCTTCACAGAGCATCCTCTGCTGGCAAGACAGTTTATGGAGCCCATTTTTTTTCCCCTCAAAATTGCTTGATCATAAGAACCCCCAGGGTTGTGGCAGGGTCAGATGTATGTGTGTGTGTGTGTGTGTGTGTGTACATCAGTTGGTCTAGGGCAGAGCTCGGGATTTTATAATTTTTATGCCTTTCCTCTAGTAATTCTTATAATAAGAGATATGGGGAAAATACTGTGCTAGAGTTGGGGGTGTGGGGTTAACAGACCCAGTCTTACAGTCATAAGAATGTAAAGGGAGAAATGAACCATTAAACAACCAAGTATAGTCAGCGAAATGCTAAGTAGAGTAAATGCCATGACGGAACAGGTGAGAACTTGAGAGACTGGAAGGAAACAAAGGTCTTCTTAGAGGAAGCAGCTGAGCTTAATTCTGAAGGACACGTAGCATTTAGTTACTAGCTTGGTGAAGGAGAAAGGGAAGGACATTTCAGGAAGAGGAGGCAGCATATGAAAAATTTAAAAGCAAAAACATGGGGAGCCTTTGGGAATCCATAAATTGTTTACTTTGTTTTGAGCATGGTATTTTTAAAAAATGAATTAATTTATTTTACATTCATTTACTGAACATCATCACAGCATACAAAATGCAGTCTCCCATCCAGAATACACTGTATAGTGGCTTAGTCACACATGTTATCATCAACAAATAATTTTCCATTTCAAGCATCGCATTTTTGAGGGTAGAGGGTGAAAAGAGATGAAAATAGAGAGCCAGGCAGAACTTGACTCATGAAGAACCTTATAAACCAGCCTTCCAGGAATCTAGAACACTATGGAAGGATTTTGAGCAAGGAAGTAAGAGATGATTAAAAACAGTCAAACAAAAAAATAACTCTGGCTGCAGTGTGGAGAGTAAGACTGGATGCAAAGATGCCAGCTGTGGAGTAAGACCAGACAAGGAGCAAAACTAAGGTAGGATAACCTAGTTAAAAAGTGGGCAAAGACCTTGAGTAGACTTTCTCCAAAGAAGACCAATGAATGACCACAAAGCATGTGAAAAGATGCTTATTCGCACATCTTCTTTGCAAAAAGTATTTTCAATTTCTTTGCCCATTTTTTAATCTGGTTGTCTTTTTCTTTTTAAAGATTTTTACCGTAGGGTGCATGTACTGACTAAAGAGACAGAGAGAAACAGTGAGCGGGAAAGTGAGAAATCACCCCTAAGGAAGATGGCCATGCTGCAATTCCTTCTCCTCCATGCTCCTCCTGGCATGTTGGGCACACACACACATGCTTCCAGCATGAGTTTCAAACTGCTAAGTCTGGGATTTGAACCATAGTCAGCCATGTGGGAGTCCACCATGCCACCTGCTGGCCCAAACAGTTTGTCTTTATGGGTGAGCTGCAAGAGTTGGTTATATATTCTGGATACTAGACTCATGTTAGTTTATGATTTACAAAAAAACGCAAAAAAATTTTGAATAATATGCTGTGTTTTTATTCCTACTAGGTCAGCTATCACCTTGAAATGAGTTTCTTTGAAGTATATAATGAAAAAATTCATGACCTTTTGGTTTGTAAAGGCGAAAATGGTCAGAGAAAGCAACCGGTAAGATAAAAAACAAATGATTTATTTTTAATTTCTGTTTTTATAAATGTATATAATTATGTGAGTTCTCTGGATGATTTAGCTTAAATTTTTACTAAAATGCTATTAGGCTGGCCCTGTGGCTTGGTGGGTAAGGGAACTATTTCCCACATGACTGATAACATGGTATGAGTTCAAGACCTGGTGGCCTTGAGAAACATGGTGGGTATGTGAGCATTGTGCCCAAAATCCTGGTAAGAGAGAGAAATGGAGGAAAAGACATTGAAGCATGACCATGCACCACTGGGGTGTGGGGGGTCCTTTCTCTCTGTCTCTCTGTCTTTGATCAACACACACACTCCCTGGTGATTAAAACAATAACAATAATAATAATAATAATTATGGGCCAGCAAGTGGTGTGGGGGTTAGGACATTGGAGTCCCACATAGCTGACCACAATTTGAATCCCAGACCTGGTGACTTGAAAATTCACACCATGGGGGGCCAGCAGGTGGCATGGTGATTAAGGGGACTGGACTCCCACATGGCAGACCACGGTTTGAGTCCCGGACCTGGCAGCTTTCTCACTTTCGCTCTCTGTCTGTGTCTCTCACTCTGCCCCTCTCTGGTCAAATTAAAATAAATAAAACTAAAATAAAATAATTCTTAAAAAAAAAAAATCACACCATATATGTGTGTTTGCCCAAAATCTTGAGAGGAGAATGGAGGACAGGGATGGTAGTGTGGCCATCTCCCTGGGGGGCGGGGAGGGTGTGACTTCTCACTTTCCTTTTCTCTGTCTCCTGTGAGCACTCACACTCTATGGAAAAAAAAATCTAAAAATAAAAGATAATAATAGGTGAATAAAATGTTAGTATTTGATAACAAATGTTTGGGATCTACAAACTTTAATTTTAAAATATTGTTATTTATAAAATAAGCTAGTAGGAATTTAATTAGTTATAAAATTTTAAACTCTTTTCACTTTAATCAAGTATTGTGTAAAGGCTAAAGATACTTGTTCCAAGTTGTAGTTGGACCACGTAAGTTAAAACCAATTCCTAATAATCTGTAAGCCGAAAAACACTAAAAGTTCTAAAATTTGTGTTTTTATTATAGAATGTACATAGAGTGTATTACTTGGTAAATTAGTATCTTGTAGATAATCTGTGAAATATAAGGTTTCACAAATACATAAGCTTTTGGGAACCAGCAGTTAGTGTAATGACTATGTCGCTGGACTCCCATGTAGTCGACCGTGGTTCGCGTCCCGGACCCGGTGGCTTAAAACTCACACCAGGCGTGTGTGCGTGCATGCCCAAGATCCCGAGAGGAGAATGGAGGAGAAGGGATTGCGGTGTGACCATCCCCCCTGGGGGGTGATTTCTCGCTTTCTGTCTCTATGTCTCTCTCTGTCTGGCGAGCACACACGCCCTATAACAAAAACCTCTCAATAAAAAAAAAAAAAATACATAAGCTTTTTTAAAAAACTACCATTACGTTAGGGACTGTCAGGTGGCATGGTGGTGAAAGGTGTTGGATTCCCATATGGCCGACCGCAGTTTGAGTCCCAGACCTGGCACCTTAAAAATGCTGGGCATGTGTGTTCTCTCTCTGTCTCTGTCTAGTCAAATTAAAAAATAATGACAAATTGAATTAAATAAAAATAAATAATTCTTTTAAAAAAACTACCATTACATTAGAATATAACATTTTACATTTTCTGAAAGACCTTGGAGCATAAGAAACAGAAACCCTTGCAGAAGTCCCTTGCTTTCAATTGCTCACAGTCACGCAATTTACTATTGGCAGTGTTAAAAAACTTAAACAGGGGCCAGCAGGTGGTATCGTGGTTAAAGTGCTGGATCCCACATGGCCAACCACAGTGTGAGTCCGGACCTGGTGGCTTGAAAAATCATGCCAGGCACTCATACATGTGTGCCCAAAATCCCGAAGAGAAGGCATTGTGGTGTGGCCAATCCTCCTAGGGGTCATTTCTCACTTTCTCTCTCTGTCTCTCTCCAGTGAGTGCATATGCCCTGGGCAAAAAAAAAATAATAATAATAAAATAAAAACGACACAAAGAAACTTAAACAAAACTTGTGATCTTTTATTCTATGACTTCTATGTGTTTTAAAGTAAATATTTGTCACACTCATAACAATGCTAATATTTGCTTCTTCTAGCTGAGAGTAAGGGAGCATCCTGTTTTTGGACCATATGTGGAAGCACTGTCAATGTAAGTGGCTCAGCACTGGCAAGGAGAAAACAGATGCAGAGTGAACGTTGCTCTCGCACAATCCATATCGTGTTGTCAGTTGCCTTTGAAACCCTGGGTAACTATTATAGTTGGCCTAGTGTCCTTCATGTTATCCAGTTACATTTTCCCTCTTTCCAAATAGGGTGTTAGTTTCTTATTCTTACATTTGCTTGCGTCTTTCACAACACCTGTAAAGCGCCTACAAAGAATATTAATTCTACTGAGTAGGAAGTAAATATTTTATTTTTTCCCCATTATATTCCCCCATTAGGTAAATTCTTCCCTTTCACCCTGCTCTTTTTACCAGTTACTTTAAGCTGAAGGGGAAGAAGATGTATGATAAGAGTTTGATGCATGCCAAGAGTCATTTATTTTTCTTTTAACACTCCAAATGCTTTTCTTGAAAGTAAGGGAAGTGATTAGATATTAATTCAGATCTGTTTAATCTGGCATTATGATGGGACCCCTCTGTACCCACACATACATGTTAAAGTATATATCTTTTGGTCCCATGACTTATATGTGAATATAATGTTCAGATGACGAGGGGCTTTATTATATTTAGAAAAATCATACTTTTTGGTGAAATTAAAGGATGATTTTATTTCTTACCCTTTAAGAGCAGGAAAAAGAAGAGATTTTTGGAGAATACATGTAATATCTGTCAATTAGTTCACTGTGATCTTTAGAGAGTAATTATGTAATTGAGATCTTATTGTTTTGTGAGAACAAGAATATAATCATCAGTAAATTCAATTTTGTTTTTTTACTTTTTAAAAATAGGAATGTTGTCAGTTCTTACTCTGATATCCAGGTAAGATTGATTATGTTGTCTTCTTTTTCCCAGAGAGAATATAATCATAAATATTCATAAGAATATTAATTCTTAATTGCTATTTACATAAGTAAAAGGTTAATCTTGTTAATTTATTATGAACCTATTTTTTTGTTTGCTAAGCTTTAATCAAAAGAATTGGTCTGCTGAATTAAAAATATTGACTTAGGTATCATTTTAAAGCTATAGAAATAAATAGCCTTTTAAACTATTAATTTTGGGGACCAGAAGGTGTCATGGTGGTTAAGGTGCTGGATACTCCCACATGGCCGATTACGATTCGAGTCCCAGCCCTGGTGGCTTGCTTTCCCACTTTCCCTTTCTCTCTCTCTGTCTCTGTCTCTCTCTGGTCAAATGAAAAGATGAATGAGTAAATAAAATTAAATTAATACTTTTAAAAAAGTATTACTTTCTAGTTCAGATTTCTGTGACAGAAAAAAATATATATAGGCATCGGGAATATAAGGTATTAAGAGATAAACACTGGGGGACCAGCAGTTAGTGTAATGGCTATGTCACTGAACTCCCATGTAGCTGACCGCGGTTTGAGTCCCGGACCCGGTGGCTTAAACTCACGCCAGGCGCGTGTGCATGCGTGCCCAAGATCCCAAGAGGAGAATGAAGGAGAAGGGATTGCAGCATTTATCACTTCCTGTCTCTCTGTCTGTCTCTGTCTTTCTGGTGAACACACGCCCTATAGCAAAAACCTCTCCCCCCAAAAAAAGAGATAAACAATGGGGCCAGCAGATGATGTAGTGGTTACATCACTGGATTCCCATGTAGTTGACCATGGTTTGATTCCTGGACCCAGCGGCTTAAAACTCATACCCAGGGTGAGCATGTGTGTGCCAAAAATCCCAAGGGGAGAGTGGAGGAGCAGGGATTGCGATGTGGCTATCCCCCTGGGGGGCGGGGGATTCCTCACTTTCTGTCTCTCTGTCTCTGTCCTTCTGGTGAGTACACATGGCCTATAGCAAAAATCTCTCAAAAGAGAAAGGAAAAAAAAGATAGACATAATTTCATTTTATAAACTGATTATACATGTTCCTTAATTTGCTTTTCCGGTGAACTGCAGTGTGCTGATGAGACCTCTCTTCTTCCCTATCAGAGCTGGTTAGAATTGGGAAATAAGCAGAGGGCGACTGCTGCCACCGGCATGAATGACAAGAGCTCCCGTTCTCACTCAGTGTTCACCCTGGTGATGACCCAGACCAAGGTATGTTTCTCCGTTGTTGATTATTCTGAAAAGTGAGATAGCAAATACATTTAAGTTTCATGTTTTGCTTTTCTTCGTCCTTAAATCAGAAGGAAAAAGTATAGTCACATAATCATATAAGTGTAGTTGGATTTTAGATAATATTAATACAATAAATTTGAGGGAACCAGCAGTTAGCGTAATGGCTATGTTGCTGGACTCCCACGTAGTCGACCGTGGTTCGCATCCCGGACCCGGTGGCTTAAAACTCACACCAGGTGAGTGTGCGTGCGTGCCCAAGATCCCGAGAGGAGAATGAAGGAGAAGGGATTGTGGCGTGACCATCACCCCTGGGGGGTGATTTCTCGCTTTCTGTCTCTCTGTCTCTCTCTGCGCCCTATAGTGAAAATCTCTCAAAAAAAAAAAAAACCCAATAAATTTGAATGGCTTTTGATATACATGACTGTTATTTATGAGTATTAAAAAATCAATAATAGGGGACAGCAGGTGGCGTGGTGGTTAAGGGTGTTGGATTCCACTATGGCTGGCCTCAGTTTGAGTCCTGGACCTGGCAGCTTGCTTTCTCACTTTCCCTCTCTCTCTGTTTCTCTGGTCAGATTTAAAAATAGTAACAAATGGAATTAAATAAATAAATAAATAAATCTTTGTTAAAAAATCAATAGATTAATATTAATTTACCATATTGTCATTGATATGATCATATCAATATATGGTAATGTTATCAATATATGACGATTATAAAGTAGCTGGAAAATCACAAGAAACAAATTATTTTTTTAATTATTTATTTTATCTATTATTATTTTTAATTCGCTACAGGGCACAGGTGCTCACTAGAGAGACAGAGAGAGAGAGAGAGAGAGTGAGAAAGCAAGCTGCCAGGTTCAGGACTCGAACTATGATCTGCCATGTGGGAGTCAAGCGCCTTAACTACCATGTACTGCCAGCCCCGATAAAAGATTTTTAAAAACCCTTTGTAAACGTTTTATATATAATCTTTCAGTTGTTTTACAGTCACATTTAGTCAAATTCACAAAATTTGTAACACTTTTATGTTATTAAAATTCTTTGCAAAATAATTTTAGTATCTACATAATGATCCATTAACTTAAAATTTCTCAAGTTTTTCTCTACTGCTAGGAATTTGTATTTTCAAATGTGCAGTTATAATGCTGGGATAAGTGACATATTTGTACATTAAGCTTTTTCTGTATTTATGGTTGTTCCCTTAATATAATTGAGTAGCTATGGATTTTAATTCCTTTAAAACCTTTTTATAAAAAGTTGACATAACCTAACCATTACTTACTGTATTTTTTTCTGTAGACTATGTGAATATTTGTGCATTGTAAATGATCACAGATTCAAGAAGTGGTTTTTTTTTTGGAGAGATTTTCACTGTAGGGCGCGTGCACTCACCAGACAGACAGAGAGAGACATAGAGACAGAAAGCGAGAAATCACCCCCCAGGGGGGATGGTCACGCCACAATCCCTTCTCCTCCATTCTCCTCTTGGGATCTTGGGCACGCACGCACACGTGCCTGGCGTGAGTTTTAAGCCACCAGGTCCGGGACATGAACCGCGGTCGACTACGTGGGAGTCCAGCGACATAGCCATTACGCTAACTGCTGGTTCCCAAGAAGTGGTTTTTAAAAAGAATGAGTTGGGGATGTCCTAAGAGTAGCAGTTAAGTATAGTAAATAGAAAGCTGGATCCCCAATGGCTCAGTACAGTTCAAGTCCCAGCCCCAGCAGCTTAAAAAATATCCTGTGTGCGTGTGTGTGCGTCCACACACACACATGTGCATGAGCATATGTGCATGTGTAACCAAAACTCTTGATGGAGTTGAGAAATGGGGAAAAAATATTGCAGTGTGCCCATTAGGGTGGTCACTCGCTGGCAAGTACACACACCTTCCGTCAATATAAAAAAAAGAAACAAAATAATAATGAATGAGTGATCTGAAATAGTGTATACCTTTTAAAGACTTATAATGATGGGGCGCGCGCCACGGCTGGTTCCTCGGGGCCAAGCGAGGTGTGTCCTCGCTGGGCCAGGCCTCGCATGCCCCAGACCGACAGGAAAGGGCCCGCGTTCAGGGGCGGGTGTGGGAGCCCCGCCCCAATGGGGGCTGGATCCCGGCGCGGTGTCCCGCACTGGTGGGAAGGGGCTGCCCCTACCTAGCCACGCTCTAACCCTGTGGGTAAGGGCTACGTGCCCCTCGGTTAGCAGTGGGTGGCAGTGGGTTAGGGACAGGCGCGCACGTGCCTATGGCACTTTACTTGGGAGGACTTGGGCTAGCCCAGGAGATACTAGGAAAACGGGATTTTCAAAGCTAACTATAAAAACATTTGTCATTGGAATCAGTGGTGTGACAGACAAATGGTGGGAAGACAACACTGGCAAAGAATTTGCAGAAACACCTCCCAAATTGCAGTATCATATCTCAGGATGATTTCTTCAAGCCAGAATCTGAAGTAGAGACAGATAAAAATGGATTTTTGCAGTACGCGTGCTCCAAGCACTTAACATGGATAAAATGGTGGCGGCCGTCTCCTGCTGGAGGGAAAGCCAGCGCACTCTGGGGTATCAACCGAGCGAGGAAGTGCTGAGGACATTCCCATCTCCATCATCGAGGGTTTGCTTCCCGTTAATTACAAGCCCCTTGATACCATATGGAACAGAAGCTATTTTTTTTGACCATTCCATATGAAGAATGTAAGAGGAAGAGAAGTACAAGGGTCTAGAGCCTCCAGATCCCCCAGGGTACTTTGAGGGCCACGTGTGGCCCATGTATTTAAAGCTCAGAGAGAAATGAGGGCATTACCTGGGAAATTTTACTAGCTGGAACAAAATCTGAAGAAGACCTTTTTTCACAAGTATATGAAGATCTAATACAAGAACTAGCAAAGCAAAAGTGTTTGCAAGTGTCAACATAAAGGTGGAAAGCAGTGAATCCTTCCGACAGTGAATTAGGAAATTCAAAGGAATGTATTTCAGAACCTTACCCAAGAAACTATACGGACTGTGGCACAATGACAGCCGTGTTTTGTATGTTTGTTTATTATCACGAAACATGTGGCACAGTAAATATCCATGCTAGTGGACAGGCATCTACCTTAAAGAGTTGCTTTCATCCAGGAAATGCATAGATGTAGCATAGCTCACAAGTAATAACTTGGTTCTGTAACAAAGGTGATCGAACTTTCTGACTAGAATCCAGAGTAAGAAATAAGAATTACATTGCAATCATATTTGTTTTCATGTATTCCTCTATCCCATTGTGTATGTTTGTATATGACGTGTGTGTAAGTATACATATATGTTCGTATGTATATATGTGTATACACACACATCAAGTATTATAAGTCATTGACCTTACATATACACTGTGACATTTTTCTATTTTTAAGGTTTCTTTTTTTAAAATTGTTAATATTGGTCACAACCCATGGTTTGGAATACGCTGCTCTCTACCATCCCACACCAACCCATTTCACCTGCAGATAATAGTGTTACTAGAGGGACCAGCAGTTAGCGTAATGGCTATGTCGCTGGACTCCCATGTAGTCGACTGTGGTTCGCGTCCTGGACCCGGTGGCTTAAACTCACGCCAAGCACGTGTGCGTGCGTGCCCAAGATCCTGAGAGGAGAATGGAGAAGGGATTGCAGCGTGGCCATCCCCCCGGGGGGGTGATTTCTCGCTTTATATCTCTCTGTCTCTCTCTGTCTGTCTGGTGAGCGGACGCGCCCTATAGCAAAAACCTGTCCGGAAAAAAAAAAAATAGCGTTACTAGAAATAGCAGCCACGTGGAATAAAGCATTAGTTTACTTCAGTATCTGGGTTTGTGTGTGTGCGTTTGATGTTATTTGTATGTGTGTGTGTTGTTGTTTTTGCATGTATCTAGTACTGTTACATCTCTATATTAAGATTATTACAAAAAAAAAGGCATAATGATGGCAAGTCATAGAAAAACTTAAATTATTTTAATGTCATTTCACTGTAGACCGAACTTGTGGAAGGGGAAGAACATGACCACAGAATAATGAGCCGCATAAACCTCGTCGACCTGGCGGGCAGTGAGCGCTGCTCCGCCGCGCACACCAGTGGAGAGCGCCTGAAGGTGAGTGGATGCTTCCTCACTCCCATAACCTTTATTCCTGGGCATTATTTCTAGGGGTGCACACGCTTAATACACTTAACCAAATGAATGCGTCTTTATCTCCATCCATAAAATGCATTGCTGGCTGTGAATTAAAGATACATATACACTTTTTGGTTATACTTTTCAAAGAAAATAAATTTCAAGTTATAAGAAAGTTGATAGTTCAAGTATTTACTCAATAATCATATGAGGGGCAAATATATTTTTGAAATAATTTTGTTTCTGAGAAGTTACTTTAAGTAAAAAATGTTTCTTTATCATACACACAGGAAGGAGTGAGTATTAACAAATCCCTGCTCACTTTGGGGAAGGTTATATCTGCACTCTCTGAACAAGCAAACCGAAAGAGGGTCTTCATTCCTTATCGAGAATCTGTTCTTACCTGGCAAGTATCTTTTTATTATTTTTTTGGGGGGGAGTGGGGGAGATTTTTGCTATAGGGTGCATGCACTTATCAGAAAGACAGAGACAGAGAGACAGAAAGTGAGAAATCACCCTGCGGGGGGATGGCTATGCCACAGTCTTTTCTCCTCCATTCTCTCTGGATCTTGGGAACACACACACTGGTGCCTGTCATGAGTTTAAACCACCAGGTCTGGGACTCAAACCGTGGTCCACTACATGGGAGTTCAGTGACATAGCCATTATGTCAACTGCTGGTCCCAGCAAGTACCTTTTGAAGTATAAAGAATTGTATAAAATCTAGTGAATCTGTGGGGAAATAAGGATAGACTGGAGATCAGGAGGTAGCATAGCAGCAGTGCACCTGGTCCCATGTGGGGAGGTTCTCTGTTCAAGGCCTAGCCCCTCCCTGAGCATATGGGGCATGTGTGTGTGCTTGTGATCCAGGCCAGCCTACTCTGGGGTGGATAGGGGCATGAGGGTTTTGATGAGGGTGCCTGTATCTCTCTGTCTCTCTCTCATGAGAGAAATAAACTTACAAATAAAAAGATTAATAGACTGATTTCATGTAACTTTGGGATAGAGGAGAAGGGGTTTAGCAGTAATAATTCTGAAGCCCTGGATTTGAATCGCAATTCTATAGCTTGTAGACTATAACTTTGGGTAAATCACTTAGTACTCTAGCCTGTTTCCTCATTTGTAAAATAGGGATGGTATCAGTAGTTATTTTTTAGAGTTAGAGTGAGGATTAAATTATTAATGTAAAACTCTTAATATGTAATATACTACATGAATATAAACGACTATTCTTACACCGAACTGTAATTAGTTAAGCTGAACATTTGAACATTTGAGGTGTCTCAGTCTGCTATTACATTGCTAACAGAAATATCTGAGACTGGGTGATTTATACAGCAATAGAGATTTATTTGACTCACAGTTCTGGTGGATAGAAAGTCCAAAGGTTTAGGGTTGGCATTAGGCCATCCTACTTCACAACATGGCTGACAGAAGCAGAGGATGGGGGACATATGCAGAAAGAGCAATGTGGGGACAGCCATCTTTCTTTTATAACCACCCACTGTCTCTCAAGAGCTAGGACTCACTAGGTCACAAGAGACATCATTAATCCATTCATGACAACAATGTCTCTGTGATCTAGTCACTGCCTGTGGGGCCTCGCCTCTTAAAACTACATTATACTGGAGACGAAGTTCCAAAACATGAACCTATGGTAGATAAACCATTATGCAAATAGAGCACAAAGGGACTTTAGAAAGTTTGTAGAAAAAGGAGTTATAGTACAAGTTCATTTTGTACAAAAAATTTTGAAATCCACACATAGTTTTATCAAAAGACATGTTTCCCATGAAATTTTGGAAGACCCCTCATTTACAGTATTACATAACACTGCAAAATTGAATAATGTTTGCTTAGTACACAGATGCTCCATGAATGTTTTCATTGGGAATATATCATTTCTAATAGTGGCATTCAAAATATATCGGTGTGAGTTTACTACTCAATTAGGATAAGCATTGATTATGACAAATACTACATCTCTCCTTGTCAGTAATATGTCTTTAAGATTGGTTTACTATAATGTGGTTGCACCTTGAATCCTGTAAGGGAAATTCTGATACTTTATTCACACCTTTTGAAAGTTAAGAGTGAAATTTGTTTTACACCAGTAAGAGAGATGCTTTAAGTCTCACACTGCCTTTTTCTCGGATGTGAAGCTTTTGCATGTGTAGGCTGATAGTGTCTAATTGGAAAATCTAAAATTTCGAATGCTCCAAAATCCAGTTAAATGATGTTACAAATAGAACATTCCACACCTGAACTCATGTGATGGGTCACAGTGAAAATGCTGCAATATGAAACAATTCTGTAGATTACCTCCGGCTCTGTGTATGGACTGTGTGTGAAACAGGTGAAGTTTTTGTGTTAAGACTTGGGTCCTATTGCCAACCTATCTATTATGTATATGGAAATATTCCAAAGTCTCCCCCACGTCTGAAATCCAGAATACTTACTGTCTGAAGCATTTCAGATGAGGGATACGCTAGTACAGTACAGAACTTTCGTTTATGTGTCCCTTCATCATTTTCAACTTTATTAGAACCCACTTCCAAAGGTTGTGGTACTGGAAATACACAGATGCCTGAGGCACAAGGCCCCTGTCCTAAAGTAGCTTACAGTCTCCTAAATGGGAGAGGTAGCTTGCTCAATATTGGACGGTTACCCATGTTTTAAAGCCTCTGCACAGATTCCTTACATGATGAAACAACAAAAAAAGTATAAGAGAAAATACAGTATTTATGAGATCTAAAACTATCTACAAATACCAAACACGTTTTAAATGGCGTCTGAGTACAGAGTGTAGTATTGCATTATGTATGCCCAATTAGTTTGTTTTGTGCTTTCTAGATAATTACTGTAATTAGGTTGTTGTAGAAGCAAAGTCTAATTATGACTTTTTTTTCCCCTTAAAGGCTGTTAAAAGAAAGTCTGGGTGGAAATTCAAAAACTGCAATGATTGCTACAATCAGCCCTGCTGCCAGCAACATAGAAGAAACCTTAAGTACACTTAGGTATGCTAACCAAGCCCGACTGATAGTGAACGTCGCCAAAGTCAACGAAGATATGAATGCTAAGTTAATCAGAGGTGAGTATTTTTCTCAAAATTTAAAAATTATTTTGTCAAAGCTTAAACTCAAGTATTAAGTCTAGTCTTAAAATACGTAATTTGGGATCAGCAGATGGTGTAATGTTTATGTCATCAGACCCCCACATAATCAACTACAGTTAGAGTTCCAGACCCAGTAACTTGAAACTCACGCTGGGTGCATGAGCGTGCATGGGCAAAGTCCTAGTAGGAAAATGAAAAAGAAGGGATTGTGGCGTGGCCATCCCTCTGGGGGTGATTTCTCCACATGGCCAACCTTGGTTTGAGTCTTGAATCTGGCAGCTTGAAAATTACCCAGGGCGCATGTGTGTGCATGCCCAAAATCCTAGCAGGAGAATGGAGGAGAAGGGATTGCAGCATGGCCATCCCCCACCCCTGGGGGTGATTTCTCACTTTCTACCTCACTGTCTGTTTCTGTCTCTCTCTCCAGTGAGCATACATGTCCTACAGCAAGAACATTTAAAAAAAAAAAAAGGAAAGAAAATCAAAGATTTTTTTCATACTTCTTTGTAGTGTAGTCACTGTATAGTGCTGGAAGAAGATAGGCAGGACAGCATGCAAGAGAATAAGCAGTAAAGGGGGAAATCAAGAAAAAGAACACAGAACAGTGTGGAGGTAAAGGGAAAACAGCAAGTATAAAAAAACTGCATAGACTCAGTCATAGACGTGTTCAGCAAAATAATAATAGTTATTTCTTTATTGATGTTCTCTTGTCACTCCAATGACTAGATCTGTTCTTGTTTAGTTCATTAATAGCAGGAGAATGGAGGAGAAGGGATTGCAGCATGGCCATCCCCCACCCCTGGGGGTGATTTCTCACTTTCTACCTCACTGTCTGTTTCTGTCTCTCTCTCCAGTGAGCATACATGTCCTACAGCAAGAACATTTAAAAAAAAAAAAAGGAAAGAAAATCAAAGATTTTTTTCATACTTCTTTGTAGTGTAGTCACTGTATAGTGCTGGAAGAAGATAGGCAGGACAGCATGCAAGAGAATAAGCAGTAAAGGGGGAAATCAAGAAAAAGAACACAGAACAGTGTGGAGGTAAAGGGAAAACAGCAAGTATAAAAAAACTGCATAGACTCAGTCATAGACGTGTTCAGCAAAATAATAATAGTTATTTCTTTATTGATGTTCTCTTGTCACTCCAATGACTAGATCTGTTCTTGTTTAGTTCATTAATCCAGCAGTTATTTGCACCTGAGTTTCTAGCACGGGCCTCACTCCATTTATGCGAAATACTGCTTTCTGTTCTTTGCTTGATAATCACCAATTTAGGAATCTTGGAAGGAAATCTGCAAGGAATTTGTACAGTTTTATCTTTGCTTGTGTGGAGCTGTCATCTTTTCATACCTCTTTGTATGAGAGGCGGAGGTGACAGACACTTCAGAGGAATGAGGCAGAAAAGAATTCGTTTTATCATAGTCCATCCTTTCCCTTTCGGATTCCTTCTGTTTTTACAAATGAGACTGTTTTCATTAAAAATAAATATACCAAATTCCAGCTTAGAAAATCTTTGATCTTTATTCCACATGTGTGTTTTTGCTTTTGTTTTTTTTCCAGTGAGAAGGAAAATGAGAAGTCACCCTCCAAAGAGGATGGCCACACAAAAGTCTCTTCTCCTCCATTCTCCTCTTGGAATTTTGGGCATACATGCATGTGTACCTGGCATGATTTTCAAGATGACAGATCTGAGACTTGAACTGTGCTTGGCCATGTGGGAGTCCAACACCTTAACCACTATGCCACCTGCTGGCCCCTATCCCACATGTTTTTTTGAGCAAGGCTAGCTTGGAACAATTCCAGTTTATGTCTGCCTTCCCAGTGTAATGAATAGTGCCCCTGTACCTCTCAGAAGAGTCTGCTTGGACAGTACACTATATGGCCATCCTTCTTATGAAGGGGGAATTCATTAATGTGGGCGTACTTTTCAACTCTAGATAGAGAGGAATAGATCATGTAAGTGAAGAAAGGCTGGATTCTCCAAATATTCTATTTAGTAATATACAAAGCTCTCAAATAAAACAGATTGGAGAGTTGGCCTACTGCAGAATTTCTTATATATCAAATATAATTAATCATGGATCTTTTTACAAATATCTAGAACTGAAAGCAGAAATTGAAAAGCTAAAAGCTGCTCAGAGAAACATTCGGAATATTGACCCTGAACGGTATAGGCTCTGCCGGCAAGAAATAACATCCTTAAGAATGAAATTGCACCAACAGGAGAGAGACATGGCAGAAATGCAAAGGTGGGTTATCCCAGAGGCTTTAAATGTTGACCGTGTTGCTGTGGAATCCCAGGACCCGTAGGGACCTTCAGAGGGCAACGCATCTGTCTTTTTCCCTTCCTTCCATATGAATGAAGCAGTTGCTATGCCACCTGCTGGTCCTTCTCCCTACCTTCCATATGACTATAACAGCCCACTCCTGGACTGTCATATTTTAACTATTACTAGGTTGATTCCTAATTTTCATAGATTGTCTCATTAATCTCTTTGTTTTTAACGCTCTCATTTTGCCTGTCTTTGAAAAGAGTTTGGAAAGAAAAGTTTGAACAAGCTGAAAAAAGAAAATTGCAAGAAACAAAGGAATTACAGGTATCATTTAAAAATTTTAAACTGATTCGAAAATGAAATAAATATGCCAATACATCTGTAAATTTCATTTCTCAAATGCTTGCTATGTACTGACTTTGTACAAAGCAATACCATAGGAGAATTACTATAAAGAAGTTGTAGCATCAAGACTGATTGTTTAGAGCCCATAAGCTAGTTGAAAAGTTTATGTATAAACTATCAAGTTATATTCACTTTAGCTCCACTGACATTTATTTAATGTCCATGCTGTGCCAGGAACTGGGGAGCCAAGATGGTTAAATACAGTTCTAGCTTGTGATCCAGGCAAAAGTTTACAAAATGTAAATAGAAAACTGAAATGCAGTGTGATCAAATTAGATTGACCATATGAAACTGCCTTTTTTGGTAAAAAGTTTGTTCATGTATTTCTTTTATGAGAGACAGGCACCCTCAGCAGGATCTCATGCTGTGGCCCTGCTACCAACCCTCCAAGCCAGCTAGGATCCCATGTGCCCAGCATGTGTAGGTCAGCCTGGGAACCGAACCCCGGTCCTCCACATAGACCCAGCTTCATGGAGTCTATGCCATCACTATGCCACTGTGACTGACCCTGAAACTGCCACTTTTGTAGTG